GTAATAAAACATCCTTGTGGATATGAAATATGACTTAATAAGTTTTTAATTTTAACTATTTCTGATTCTCTATCTCTCTGTTTAAGGATTCCCGATGGACAATGGCATAATTATGGCTCTGGGTACTATTATGTCGCATTATGACCACTTGCAATGTATACATATGAAGAAGACTGGACTGACAGCTGATTTACTGAAAAAGTTGGTAATGTATTTAAGTAAAACAAAAAAAGTTCGAGAAATCATCTTGGACGACAATCCAATTGAAGAACAGAACTTTTATTTATTTGTGCAAGAAGACACACGGTAAGATAATGCTGCTTAATACCACTTAACTATAGGGCATTTCAAGAATAGGCATTTCTTGAAAAGAGATCAGTCAATGGAAGTACAGACTAAATTATTTATACGTATATAATATTTTTAGTTTAGTTAACTAAATATGTTAGACCAAATACTTAATTAATTTCATGCAAAATCGTTGATATAATCTCTGTGTTAATAACTTGTGTGAAATTAAAATTCCACCGTCTGTTAAAAATCCATGTCTATCAATAAAAATTAACAATGGAGCAAAATCGGTTAATTGGGATACATACGTAGCAAATGTATTTCCAATCGGCCATGAAACATGAACAAAAAAGTACATCACAGATTACGTATCTACAACAACTACATATAATGAACGAATGAATAAAACTACGAGTAAATTGGCGACGTTAAACATAAAATACTTAACGTGAATAAATTAAATTTTTTACTTGTAAAACATTTAGTCTTAGGATTACAAATGTTATAATAAAAAATGTAAATGTCAGTTATATTTACAGTTTTAAAGAGTCCGCTATAGCAAAACTGTGTCAGAAGTGACTAGTTGTTTTTTACTTGCCAATATTTATACACGTTGTGTTACATCTTATTACTGTCTTTACTTTTCGTGGGAAGTAATGTTTTTACTATTTTGTTCGCTTCTTCTAATACTTTATCCGCAACGCGTTCCGTAGCTTCCATTTACAAACATTTCTTACAAACAAACAATGCAAGACTCATTAAAATAAATCTTCTCAGAAGCAATACGGGCGTCATGAAATGTTATATACCTCGAAAGGTAAAGATATGCTTGAATGTCTCAAAATTTATATTATTCTTAAATTGAAACGAAAAAATATTGAAGGTAACGTGTATAAAGGGGTATAATTGCACTCGCAGTATCCAAGAAAACTCGCTATTGTCGCTCGTTTTCTTGAACACACCACTCGTGCAATTATATCCCTCTTTACACACTCGTTTCGTTATTTACTATAATTCACACAAATTTAGATAATTTGCATTGTTATGTGCACGGGAATAGAGGTGACAAATTGTGAAAGTGACAAACACAAAAAGAATAAAAGCTGTCTTAAGTTTCCAGCTATCCCTATATCCCTAGTTATTTCAGTTGACTCTGTGATGTGTTGAACCAAATTATCAACCAAATGACTAATCTAAAACGCGTGTTGTAAAATATTTCATATGCTACA